CAAATAGTTAATTTGATACTAATATCGATATATTTTTGTCAAATTTTTATGATATCTTCAAACATATATTTTATTCAAAAATAAAAACATCATCGTTTTCTCAAAATCACATAAAGCCATATTATAACATCGACTGAGATAAAGACTAAAATGAAATATTAAATCACGATGTATCTCGCTGCATTGCGTGAGTACGCTTCTAGTATAATATATATATATATATATATATATAATAAAATTATATAATAATCTATAAATAAAATTACATTTTATAAATTAAAATATGGAAAGTAAGTTTTTTTATAAGAACTCCATTGTAGAGTTCTATTAAGATTCTTATTTTATAATGAAGTTTTCAAAGGTTCCATTGTCATTGCTAGTGATGTTTTAGAGTTAATTTTTCATTATATATATATATATATATATATATATATATATATATATATATATATTAGAACGGTATTCGTACAATACAACAAGATACATCTCGATTTTAATGTTTTTTTTTTTTTTGTCTTAATGGATGTTATAATACGATTTTATGTGGTTTTAAGAAAACGATAATGTTTTTAAGTTTTGGAAAAAATATAAATACAAAAATATCATAAAAAATGAAAAAAAATATTGATCAAATTTCTCTTTTTTTTATGTATTTCTTTATATTATTTTTTTTATTTTTAGTTTAATAATATAATTTTTTATAAATATAATAATTAAACATTCTGTTAGAACTCAATAATTATCTTAATTATATTTTAGATTTTCTATATTTAAAATAGATGTTTATCTTGTATTTGATCATGTTTATCTGCAGTTAGTTACACGAATTTAAAAATAGAGCTTTAATAAGTTGCATTTATACATAATCTACTTGTAATATTGAATTTTAAGTAATATGCATCAATAAACAGTACTTTATACATAAAAAATAATTTTTAATAATTTTTATCAAATGCTTTATAATATAGTGTATATATATATATATATATATATATATATATATATTTAAAAAGTAAATAAATAAAAAATATAAAAAGTGTACGGAAGAGGATATGATTTGGAGGAGATAGTTTAAAGAGGGAAAAAGTAAAACCGTCTAAAAGTGACAATGATATGTAACAACCAAAATCCCTCCTTTTTACCTTCTTCCTTTTAAAATCCATTTTCACATATTAAAATCAAGTATTAAGTGTTACATAATGAGTTTATTTAATCTTTTATTCAATTAAAACAATTTATTTAATCAAAACAATTACAATTATTATATGATAATGATTAAAGTATTAAACACATGTCAACACACCACATTCATTTTCATCCATGTTGATGATGATTTGATTCGTTAATTATCCAACTTGTATCAGAGTCATCTACTCAAGTATCTATATTCAAATATAAGAAATTCAATATATTTCTGTTCGATTCTTATTTTATATAATATATTTTCAAATTTTAGTTTTTCATATATAACAGTAGTTTTAATTGAAAATCCATATACTTTGATTTAATTGTTTGACAGTATCAAAATAAATACTTTAAAAATACATCATATAACATACCATAACATATAGATTAAATAAAGTAATACTTTATTTTAGGATAAATTACATGAAAAAAGTAAAATACTTTAACTTGATTCCTATTTTGTGTAACGTACTTTCAATTTTTTTTTATTTTGGTACCTAAGATGTAAAGTTTTAAACATTTAAATACCTGAGTAACGAATTGAAGACTAATTTTAGATTAAAAAAAATCCATGTCACTAACCACGTCAGTAAATAATATTGAGTTTGATACCACATCACTCGCTACATTAATATGATAATCGGTTAATCTTCAAACTGTTATTCAGATACTTAAATGTTTACATTTTAGGTACCAAAATGAAAGTTTTAAAGGTAAATTACCCAAAATAAAAATCAAATTAACATAAATTGTTTGTTTATTTTGATGTTAAAAATAGCGAAAGATAATGGTTGGGAGATTGTGATTGTAAGGTTTTGTTGGGATATGTAGATAGGTCCACTTGTAACCGTACACCATAACTCCGGCAATTTCATATTATCCCTTTGTCTCATCTCACATTTAATACAAATCATTTATTAAATATATTTTTTATAAAGTGTTTGAAATACATGAAATTAGACACGGTTTTGATCTTTCTGTTTATAAAATTATATAATATTTTAAACGGGTTAAAAACATATTGTAAACAGGTCAAAAATTTCAACCTAAGCCAACCTATTTATTTAAATGAGTTAGACGGGTTAACTCATTTATTTAAATGAATTGAAAATTTCAACTCAACCTGTTAATTATGAGTTGGGTTGAGGTTGGATTAACGGGCTGGGTGACGGTTGTCAATTTCAATACCCACCCAACCAAGAACGCTAATTTGAGTTGAATGGATGCTTATTATGACCTTTTGTTTGATGTTGAATACATGAATTTCATACCCCTCAATTATATATTGTAAAGAGAGAGAAAATGCATTAAATATGTAAATGGGAAGGGAGAAAAGTGTAAATTTGGAGGAGATATGAAATGATAACAAACACTGTGAAATGCAAAGCTAATGTACCTTCACAAATCCTCTTTCACACACGGAGAAAATCTTCAATGATGCCATACATGCAATTTACCAAGGACCATTTCCCTTTTTCTTTCCTCTTATATATATATATATATATATATATATATTTCATCTTCATATTTAGTTACATTCATCAAATTTTATATATCGTCAATAATTCTATGTTTGAATTTGTGTGACTAATTGCAGATAAACATAATTAAATATATGATAAACATATCATTTTAATTACAAAAAATCTAAAATTTAATTAAGATAATTATTGAGTTTCTAACAGAATATTTAGCTATTATCATTATAAAAAATTATATTATTATACCAAAAATTAAATTGCTTCGTTATTAAACTAAAAATTATATTATGTTATTTTTTTAAACTTTTATAATATTTTGAAATTTATATTTTATTAAAAAATAAAAACATTATCGCTTTCTTAAAACTAGAATCGTACTCTAATATCGATGTAGATAAGAATAAAACAAAACATTAACATCAATATTGTACGAATACCTTTCTAATATATATGTGTATATATATTTTGAAGGTTTAAGTTTTAAAAAATAATTAATTGATTTTATGAAATAAAATGAAATTAATTTATTTAATTAAAATAAAATTAGAGTTTTGAATTTGTGGATTTTGTTTGCCGGTCACTCTCTTTACAGCTTGTTTTATATTTTATATCTTCCAATTGTCTTTCTTCTTAAATAAACAAATTTTTTATTATTAATTAATTAATTAATTAAAAAAACCCTATAAAAACCCTCCAATTCCTCCATTTTCTCTTCTCTAAAAAACTTACACCATCCCCACCTTTCTCCCACTCTCTCCAAGTATGTGTACCATGGAAGACATGATGATCAACAACAAACCCACATGTTCTCCAACCACTAAACCCTTCACCATGCACAAAGACTCTCGTATCATCTCCAAAATCAAACCCAAGATTCGCATCATTCACATCTTCGCACCAGAAATCATCAAAACCGACGTAGCAAACTTCAGGGATTTGGTTCAAAGGCTCACCGGAAAACCAGCCGAGAAGAAGAAACTCAAGACGACCAAGAGAACAGAAACGCAGAAGAGATCGAGCTTTTCGTTGGCGGCAGCTGGGGCTGAGGTGACGAGGGAGAAGATCAAAGGGGAGGAGGAGATTTGGGTAGGAGCTAATTCCGGCGGTGGGTTCTTGGGTGGATTTGGTGATCTGGATGGGTTCATGCAAGAACTTAACCATCACCAAAATCATGGCTTTTCACCAGTTCTTCAAAATCTGGAGGCACCCACTTTGGTTAATTCTCATTTGGATTATGGGTTTGGAGAAAGATCGTTGAATTTGCCTACCTACAGCTAATGCTAATCCATTTTCTTTCGGTTTCTAGGTTATTAATTAATTATTAATTATATCTAATCTTTGATTAATTCTTGGCTAATTGATTTGATTAATTAATTATTTGTTTAATTATATATGGTACGTTATTTAATCGTCATCAACCGATGCGAAACGAGTCTTTTGAATCGGTAGTTGTGGATTCTGAGACTTTTATCTCAACAAGAAAGTGTTTCTTGTGGATTTATGTTATGTTAATCCAATGAATTGAATCTTTAAAGGATATTATTATGGTTTCGTTTGTGGATATTCATCATCTTTGTTGAAGTTGCAGTTGCAGTTGCAGTGTCGTTATCAATTAGGCTTCATTAAGTTGAAGGTCTTACAAGTAATGCAATATTTTATACATCTGTTGCTGGGAAAAAGACTTAAGAACTGTATTTGTCATTTATTTATTAACGACTACTCGTGATACTCGAGTATGTGATCTGAAGCTGAAATGGAGCTAAACATGGTCTTATGAATTAAGCTCATCTGAGTCCTACGAATGTATGCATTTGAGACTCATTCCGTTAAGACATCAAATCTCCTTCGGTTAAATGTTTTTGTTTCTTTCAGTTCGTCTTTTCTTCAGCTAGTTTCATAATTTTATTAATACAAGAATTTGGATGGATGTATATGACTTATATCAAAGCATTTATTGTCTACTGATGAAGATATTTGATTTCATTAATTAATGTGATTACTTTTCTTTTATGAATAATTCAAACAAAAACTTATATATATATATATATATATATAAGTTTGGATATATATATATATATATATAGGGTATATTTCTTTTACAACCTTGTGCATTTGTACAACCTTTGCAACCCAATTAATTGAGATATTTATAGAAATGATTGGAGTTCATTTATTATGATTTGAATATTTATGGAATATGAATATAGTTTATTAATTATGATTAATACTTTATATTAGGAAACAATTAATTGATTAAAAATTGAATGGTTGAGATGAGGGTTGTATAGGGTGTAGGAATGGCAAAGAGTGTAGAATAACATCCCTATATATATATATATATATATATATATATATACTTGAGATCACGTGAGACCAACCTGTTTTCATGAGACCTGTGAGACCAACTTTTTACATTTGAAACTTTACAGCAAAATGCTGTGAAGGTAACCTTCACAATGTTTTTGCTGTGAAGGTTCGACTTTTTTAAACCTTCACGGTGTTTTTGCTGTGAAGTTTCAAGTGTAAAAATGTGGTATCACGGGTCTCACGAAAACAGTCTGGTCTCACGTGAACCCAACCCTATATATATATATATATATATATATATAGGGTTGGGTTCATGTGAGACCAAAGGTTTTTCGTGAGACCCGTAAGACCAATTTATGTTTATTGATCAACTTTATAATCTAATGATCTAATGGTTTAAAGTTGTACGGTGACAATTTTGTGATTATTGTGAAGTCTTGTGGCAATTTTGTGATTATGAATGTTCAGATTGTAGATCTAATCCAAGGGTTGAGAATTAGTCTTACCGGTCTCACGAAAAACTCTAGGTCTCACATGATCCCGAGTCTATATATATATATATATATATATATATATTCGAGAAGGTGAAAAATTTAGGAGAATGTGCGAATAAAATATGAGCTACATACCTTATTTGATAAATGGATTAAATGAAATATTATTAAATTAAAAAGGGTATGATTATCATTTTGTGTATAGCATTAAAACAACTGACTTTTACCAATAGAAAATCCGTCGGTAATCCATTGCTAAAGGTCGCATATATCGGTGAAAGTTCCTTAGAAGAAATGTCGTGGGAAAAGACATTACCAACAGATCATCATGGATCACTGAGGCACACATTCACCAACGATTTGCCATCACCGTCGGTTCACCAACACTTTCAAAAAAATTGATTTTTAGAAAAAAATTACCGACAGACGTCCTTCAGTAATCCATCCGTAATTTAATTTTTTAATAATTTAAAAATATGAATTCTTGGTACAATAAAACCTGTCCAAATTGGAAAATAAAATACCAAATAAAAACAAAATCTATTTTTACAAAATAATTCCATAATAACATACAAAATCTTACAATGAGGAAGGGAGATGTGGAACTGCCTCATGAATGTAGAAAATTGTTCGGTCAGCTGCTTTTGTCGAGCTATCTCATCTGTTGTCTCTTTCTGCTGCTGCTTCAAAGTTGCCCTCCTCGATTGTTCCTCTTATAGCGCTCTTCATAGCTAGCCGACTTCTCTTTTAAATGATTAAAGAACAATATACATGTATATAAATACGAAACATACCTCCCGCGATTAGCGACGAGCTCACGCTGTTGCTATGGCATCGAGATCACCAATTATAGCAAATCAGGAAAGGAATCCTGACTGGTCCAAAATCCAAATAGACGGCCCTTGTGCCGGTCTCCGACTGGGTCATCCGGAGGAATAGTGTTGAGATTTGAGTCAAATATATCTCCTCCCTAAGACGTGAATACATCTTCTATGATTTACCAAAACAATATTGTGTTAACTAACTTGTAAACAATTTGGCAACATAACTGTTGTAATTTAAACATATCCTTTACCTGTTCTTAACAAATATAATGCAACTCTATAGTATAAGTCTATCGTTTACCCGACAATGATAACCTAAACTAATTAATACTTATCTATTCTATAAAACTAATCAATCCTATAAAACAAACTAAATCGATCACGAAAGTTGAACTTACCGTCGCTCTAACCGCATTCGGGTAAACGTATAGTAGATATGAGGATTCGTAGACAGAGTAGTCGCACATGAAACGGGCTTCCTATTGTTGTAGTGGATCCTCTCAAAAAGATCACCCGCAGTTGTCTCACCCATGCGTCTCTCTAGTAACAACTTACAATAGAAAATTTAAGTTGTTAGTAGACATCAAATTCATAAACAATATACATTTAGTATAGTATATGACAAATTACCATGCAATACTGATGCTTAATGTTGAACGAAACTGATAGAAACCCCGATGTGCCTGGACGACTCTTACTGGTGGCCTAATTGTCCCTATATTGACACCTAAATGCGTCGATATTCCACACTTACTCGATCAATTACAACTCGCTACAAATATTCAACCATACGTACTCGATCAATCATATCCACCAATGCACCTCTAGGATGCAGTCCTGGTGGTGTCCCCAAACTGGCGTGAAGTTTTGACCATCAAACTGTACAACATCGGCGTCTACGATTGTCTCTCGACCCGTTTACGAGCGACCCTCATCTGATCTAGGTACCTATTCCGCAAGGTACAATGGAAGGCATTGAAAATGTCTGCCTCCTAATAAGGCTCCCAATTAATTTACCCTGCATACGCATTGTTTGTATTAAGTAAAAAACTAAAACAAATAATTTGGATCCAGTAAAATACAAACCCGAAAATGCTTGAACATGAGCCTGATGTGATACTCAAGGACATCCCCATAGTAAGCCACAGACCATCCAACATGGACCAAAAGATGAAGGTGACCTCCTGGACAACTGGTGTGTCTAGAAACCTTCAAAATTGCTAAATATACAACACAAGAAAATTAGTATTAGTTTATTATGTACTAGCTTAAGACCTTATACCATATCTACTTACTCGTTGCTTGCCACCTGGACCACCAGGAGTTGACTCGGATGACAAGGCGTTTATGTCATAGTATTCACGCCTCTAGTTCTTAATCCTGATATGGGGGCAAGGCCACCCACCGCATCATCTCTTGTTGAATCTGATCCAATCCCTCGGTGAAAGTGCCGACGATGTAATTGTCGAACTTAGCGGCACGGGTGTCACCACATCTGACAGAGCTGCTATTGCCCTTACTAGAGCCTATACCTCTATTATCGCATCTCTTCTGAGATAAGAAATTGGATTGACTATTCTAAAATGAAACTATAGGTGTAAATGTGTAATTGTACAACAATCCATCATCATATGTCCCTTTAAAGAAATTTAGAAAAGATTTAGATGATTTTAAAATCGTAAGTGCATAAACACAAAGATATAATTAATAAATATCCATAAGCAAACACTGTGAAATATTGTCTACATGACTAAGACATGCTAGTTGTCAGATTGATGATCAAGTAATGTAGGTTCATGTTATCTGAATCATCGTTTATGTCTTCATATTCTTCTTCCTCGTCGCTAGCTTCAATACTGGATACATCTTCCTTGTCGCTACTTTCGTTATTAGATGATCATGATGGTCAAGAATGGAGATGATGGTGATCACTCATGTGACAAGAATGTGTATGTTATATGAGTTACTCGTTCATTGATTTGAAAGAATTGTTCTTCGTTCATGTTATCATCATCCTCGACATCGCTAACACATTCTTCTACTTCATATATTCCACGAGGCTTCATCTTGACAACAACCCATCAGTCCTTCAAATCCTAGTGCCTAAAGGATACGGTGCATAATACACTTGTTCTGCCTGTGATGCTAGGATGAATAGGTTGTTAGTTTTTAGTCTAGACTTGTACTTGATATAGACCAACCCATGTTTAGGGTTGACTCTAACCCCCATGGAATATCAAACCAGGTACACTTAAACAACACCACAATGCAATGTCTTACATCGTAATATTCCACATCTAACACATCCAATAATCCGTAGTAGTTCAACTAGGAGTCGTCATAACATGCTCCTTTCATACATGCACTGTATTATGTGTGACCCACCCAGTAGCATAGGTTACTATATGGAACTTGTAACTGTTGACGAAATATCCCTTATGTGACTAAGCATATCAACCTGGTCTGTGTCATAGGGATTTCAATTATTCATTTGTTTCACACAAACCGAGCATTACCTATAAAATAACATAAGAAGTTAAACACATTTGTAGAAGATTACGTACATAATTTTCATATTGGTATACTCATGTATTTTTCTAACCATGCATAGAACCTTTCATCCTGAGCTCTATCCAGTGCAACCGCGTCAAGATTAAGTTCTATTTGCCATATCTATTCATCAAATGTCTACTAGAAAGGTTGAACTTCTTCAAAATTCAACAATACATATA